CAAATTGCTACTTTGTAAGATCATTGTCCTTTTTTTCTTTTTTGCGGACTTCGTAAGATCATTGTTTGAGCTGGTCCAATTAACATAAATTGACTTTCGATCTTTCGATCTTATGATACAAAAATTATTATCATTTTTTGGAGATATTTCCCAGAATTTTATAAAATTGAAGTTTTTTATAACTAGGCCAGTGTCATAAAATTTTGGGAAAATGGCAAATAAAGACCCTTGAAAATATAAAATGGCAATTTGGGTACTTCAATTCATAAAATTGCCATCAGAGACCGGGTCCTAGATTGCAATTATGAAATGAAGCCCAAATGACTAAAATGCCCTTCCTTTTCTCTTTCTTCCAGCACCTCATTTCTTTCTCTTTCCTTCTTCTCTTCCTCTCTCTCTTTGTCCTACTCTCCCTCTCTGGAAACATAAATTTCTGACTTCCTTTCTCTCTCTCTCTCTCCCCTCTTTCTTCTCTTTCCTTCTTCTACTCTCCTTCGATTTCATTCTTCTTCTCTAGAACCGTGACGTTCTTCTATGTTTTTCCCAACCCATTAATTTGCAATGGGAAAAATGAAACATGTTAACCGTGTAGCTTCCATATTTAATTTTCTGCAAAACATGTAATGCTAATAGCCTAATATAGTACTCTTCATATAAAAGCTCTCATTCTCCATAATCTCTCTTTATTCTACAACCTCATCTCCTACTGATATACTCGAATTAACAACTGTTACCTCCTTTCATTGTAAAAAACTGGTTGTTGTCAAAGAATTCTGGAAATTATCATTTACGAAGAGAAATGTAAACTTGTATAAAAACCTTATCAGAAGTGATAAGTTCACTATGACAAATGATAAGCTGAATATGATAAATAACAAGTTCTCATAAGGTTTTCATACAATTTCAAATTTCTATGTTAAAATGACTAAATTTTCATATTGATTTATGAAATGACAAGTTTACTATGGTAGATGACAAGTTGAGTTTGACAAATGACAAGTTCCCATAAGGTTTTCATACAATTTCAAATTTCTCTGTTAAAATGACTAAATTTTCATATTGATTTATGAAATGACAAGTTTACTATGGCAGATGACAAGTTGAGTTTGACAAATGACAAGTTCACATAAGGTTTTCATACAATTTCAAATTTCTCTGTTAAAATGACTGAATTTTCATATTGATTTACGAAGTGAAAAGTTTACTATGACAAATAACAAGTTGAATATGACAAATGATAAGTTCCCATAAGAATTTCATACAATTTTAAATTTCTCTATTGAAATGACTGAATTTCCACATTGATTTATAAAGTGACAAGTTAATTATGACAAATGACAAGTTGAATTTGGCAAATGACAAGTTTCCATAAGGTTTTTATGCAATTTCAAATTTCTCTATCAAAATGACAGAATTTTCACGTTGATTTACGAAGTGACAAATTTACTATGGCAAATAACAAATTGAGTTTGGCAAATGACAAGTTCCCATAAGGTTTTCATACAATTTCAAATTTCTCCATTAAAATGATTGAATTTCTACATTGATTTACGAAGTGACAAGTTTACTATGGCAAATAACAAGTTGAGTTTGGCAAATGACAAGTCCCCAGAAGGTTTTCATATAATTTCAAAAAAATGAATGAATTTTCACATTGATTTATGAAGTGACAAGTTGAGTATAGCAAATGACAAGTTCCTATGAGATTTTCATACAATTTCAAATTTCTTCGTTAAAATGACTGAATTTTCATATTGACTTATGAAGTGACAAGGTTACTATGGCAAATGATAAGTTGAGTTTGGCAAATGACAAGTTCCATCAGGTTTTCACACAATTTCAAATTTCTCTGTCAAAATGACTGAATTTTCACATTGATTTACGAAGTAACGAGTTTACTATGACAAATGACAAATTGAGTATAGCAAATAACAAGTTCCCATAAGGTTTCATACAATTTCAAATTTATCTGTTGAAATTAAAATTTGCAGATTTCTGACAGCAACTACTTCTGATAAGCAGTAAATGACAAGTTTAGTAAGATTAATGACAAGTTCAGTGAGTTGAACCCCTTGTACAAGGAAACTAATTACGAGCTACACCTCATGCAATCTTGAGTCTTACATTCCATCATAAAGTTGACTTCCCTTCCTCATTCACATGCAATGAATCATCCAAGCTTTCATTCTTTAAGGAGGAGTAGATTATGAACTTGTCACCATCAAATTGAAATGTATTTCCTAATCTAACCATAGTTCTCAAAGAATTTCTTGACACCTTGTTCCATTTGGAAGAATTGTCCTGTATGCAAGACAAAATCCAATATGATCTTGGTATGTTTTCTGGGTATGTAAACACATAAAAGTTCAAACTATATATAAAAAGACACATACACATTAAAATAGCCTTTGACTTTCTCCATGAAATTGATAAATTGACTAATGAAAGTTAATCATGAATTTTCATTTCTTGATTTCCTCCATAACTGTTCTGATATATCCAAGGTGATAAAAGATGAATCAAATAATGTTGCAGATTTGGTACTTAGTTCAAGCAGGGGCAGAATATCACACTCTGTAAACATTACACATAATCTTAAACAAGCATAAAACAATGCTCCAACATGCTTTGCTACACTGTTCCTTCTCTCTCCGAGACAAGGAATAATAATTTCAAAGTAGATTTTCTATTCAAAATCCAACAAACCATCGCAATATTATTTTGTTACAAGAGATAATAGTACAAGCTGAAACTTTACCAAATATTCTAAGGTACAGATCCTTCTTCGCTGCACCAGGTTTGTGGCTATGGAAGGTAGAAATGGAGATAGGGTTTTGAGCTATGGTGGAAGAATCAGAACATAGCATCGCCTTTCTCTCCCTCTAAATTCTGAAGTGAGAGACGTGGCTGAGGTGAGGACTAGAGTGCTATGCTTTGAGCTTGATTCAGTAGCAGTAAAGAGAAGGACGAAGAGAGAGAGAGAGAGAAAGAGAAGAAAGAAAAAGAGGGAGGGGATGAGACGGAAGGAAGAGAAAGGGAATGACATTTTTGACTTTTCTCCTGCATTTCATAATTGCAATTTAGGACCCGGTCTCTTATAGCTATTTTGTGAATTGAGGTACCCAAATTGCCATTTTATATTTTCAAAGGTCTTTATTTGCCATTTCCCCTAAAATTTTTCGTGTTCGTACCGTGTTACTCGCATGAACATAGAATGAGGCTACCTAAACTTGGGTTACACTTGCCTATCAAAACCTGGTACTAAAACCTCGTTAGAAGAGAAAAAGTCAATGAAAATCTTTCAGGTACAGTACAACAAAACATAAGAACACTATTAAGAACAAAAATATGTGATTTGGTGATAAAACTTCCCAGCTTAAATTTGTTGCATCCATTAGCACTCTTATTTCTGGAAACAGTCCATTAAAGACCTAGTAATCAATGACTTTGCAATGATTATGAATAACAATATCAAATATAAAAAAAACAGGGAACCACACTATGGTTTAATATAATGGGAAAATTACGTACAGGTCTCACAGAAGACAATTTATTCATCTAAGGTCTCACGAAATGTCAAAATCACTGACAGGTCCCAAGGGATCTCAGAGTAATATATTCTACTTGTAAAATGACATTACTGTCCTTCACATTCCAAATTCACATTTGCTCTGTCATTGCGATTTACAATCTCAGCAACGACTATTAACAACCCAATGAGAGGGCGTTAATAACCTAAGTAGTATCCGTTAACAACTTACTTTATAGAATCATATAACCTTCACATAAGAGTAAATTATAACCAATTAGTATAATACAATAACTTTAACATTAAAATGGGAAGCTTTTTGATATCATTAAGAATTTTAACTAAATCCAATAGGATTATAGCAACATTTAAATGCGAAGATCCATTTACGACCTCAACGATGAGTATTAATAACTTAAGGAGAACTGTTAACAACCTTAGCAGTGTCTGTTAACAACTCACTTTATCGGATAATATAACTTCTAATTATAACTAACTAAATTATAACTAAATAATGTTAAAGTTAATCTTATATAGTTGTTAGAGGTTATATTATCCTATAAAGTCAGTTGTTAACAGATACTGCCTAAATTGTCAACAGCTCTTTTTGGATTATTAATATTCACCGTTGAGGTTGTAAATGGATTTTCGCATTAAAATCTTGCTATAATTCTATTGGGTTTAATTAAAATTCTTAATGATATCAAAAAGTTTCCCATTTTAGTATTAAAATTGTTATATTATACTATTTGGTTATAATTTACACTTATGTGGAGGTTATATGATTCTATAAAGTAAGTTGTTAACGGATACTGCTTAGGTTGTTAACGCTCTCTCATTAGATTGTTAATAGTCACTGCTGAGGTTGTAAATCGCAATAACAGAGTAAATGTGAATTTGGAATCTGAGGGGCAGTAATGTCATTTTACAAATAAAATATATTACTCTGAGATCCTTTGGGACATGTCAGTGATTTTTACATTTCGTGGGACCTTAAATAAATAAAATCTCTTCTGTAAGACCTGTACGTAATTTTTCCTAATATAATTTACTTTAGATTGCATGGACCCACGTTAATTCTTTGGGGGGGGGGGGTAAGCCCCTATCATATAGGTACAAGCACCACACCAGATACGGATGTTCTCCAGCGATGGAGATATGAGATGTAGGACCTATTCCATTATCTATTTCTCTCTCATCAGAGTACCTTTCTATCACTAGAGTAGAGGGAATCCCAGCTGCTTAAAGTTGCCATTTTTATGCTTGTGGTCAGACGAGATTCTTAGACAAGTTTTCATCTGAAAAGGAAAAAAGAGGGGGAGAGGGGGAGCAGGAAAAAAAAAAAAACTAAGTTGATCATGGAAAAAAAAAAAAAATTAAATAAGCACGTCCAAAAGTTTGCCTCCCCTATTTACAACTTTATTCATAATTGTCTTCTGTAGTTCTTTTGCTAGATTGATGTTCTGACAGGTTGAAAGCTACTTTAAACAATATATATCAGAGAAAGTGGCTCTTTATCCAACATGATGCAATAAGCGACAAAGGAATCCATTAGCAAGAAAGCAATAGAGCAAGATTTGAGCAATTTGAATTTACAAATTGGGCTAATTTGATTCCACTTCTGTCCCCACCAGCACACCAGACAAGAACAGATCAGAATTAAACTACTTATCACATAAAAAGGAATGAACACCGCAAAGGTCTGTTTTTATCATCACAGGATGAACCATGAAACAGACCTTCCATCCCTACATGCCATACCTGGTTATTCCATGAAGATTACCTTGGGCTACATTGATGTCTTGAACTCTAATTTTGGCTTCATTCCAGATAAATGGTGGGGCCACAGGGTCCACGCTCAGCATCCTCTTTTTAAGTCCATCTGGAGATCCTTCTGAAGCCAGCCCATTAGAACTCTCATGTGATGTTAGGCAACTTTCCGTGGAACAGCCAGTCCTAGGACGCTCGAAATTAGGCATGATTTTTCCCTCCGGAACATGCACTCCAGCCACCTCGGCAGATGGTAAGGAGTAGAATCCTAGAGAATCAAGCAGGGAACCTCTTGGTGCTTTACTTCCAAGATCTTGAACTTTTTGGCTGTCTGGCTCTATAATTGTCGCACTGATAAATTGATCAGCCAGCATCTTGCAAGCTCTTTCAAGCATGGCCATGTACCGCCGCTCTGCATCCTGGCGAATCTGCAAGTGCTTCTCTGCCTGCAGTGAAAAAAGAATTCCAAACATTAGTATGCATCAGAGTAGATCATCTAATCATGTTTAAGACCAGTTCTTGATAGTGACACAATCTAAGAAAGAGTAATAAGCACTATTACAAAACTGAGATTATAACACAAACCAGCCAACGTGGTCTAAGATATTCATTAAGCCAAATTGGAAATAAAGCTTGTACAGCGTGAGAAGGAATTTACCTCTACTTGCAAATGAAGTTTACTCTGCACTTCCATCTGAATTCTTAACGCCTCTTTGATCTCATGACCCCTGGACATGACATATCATTAATCACTCCCTCAATCAGCCAATTCAGAACCGTTAAGATACCCAACAAGAAGCAAATATTTTTAAAGGATAAAATTCTCACTCATTTGCATCAGAAGTTGGCAACTTTGGAGAGTTGTTATCAGTGCTCGGGCTTTCTAGAAGATAAGAGCCTGACATCCCTTATATATGTTTTCAATAAGAAGTCAGTTTATGTTAAGATATGAACAAAAAGTTTCCCTTAGGAAAAGTTCCTCAGCAATGTCCATCAGTATAAATTACGTCACTAATGGATAAATATGGTTTTAGATTTACACATATGCTAAACATTTCTGATGAATCCTTTCACTAAGCAAAGAGAAAGGAGACAGAAAGACACCTCTGATCATATTGGAAAGGTCAGAGAGAGACACTATTGGAACTATTCAGGTGACATGAGCATAATAGGAAAAAGTACAACAGTCATACCATCTTTGCATCCTTCACCCATATCTTTCCCTGATTGTTTACCAAGTCTGTATTTCTGAAACGCAACAAGGAACAGTTTGAAACAATAAAATATTGTAAACTTCCATGTTCACCACCAAACCCAAATTTAAGCTGAGCACCACAATAATGTGAAAAGAGACCTGAAGATGGCTCTTTAAATGAAAGAGAGTCAAACCCTTGACATTCATGGTCCGCATGATTGCTTTTGGTGTAGCTTCTGCAGATAGTATAAAACACTAGTCAGAAAAGCGCAAAGGTAATAATTGACACATCAAAGTTGCACACAGAGCAAGTCAGGAAATAGAAAGCAGGTGCTAATCGTTGTTAGCTAATAGGTACTTCACAACCACATCAAGCTTCATTCATTTATAAGACTCAACATACATGCAAGGTTTTTAGATATCCAGCCAAGCCTACTTTCCACTCTTGAGATTTTGAATTTATGCAAAAGTTGCTGGCAGCATTATACTTATAATTCCTAACAATAATTGCGCGCACACTACCTGGTATGAGCAAATGTTGACCTTTAAAACATAAATCACATGCCATCCTTCCCCAAAAATGAAAGTGGTACAATATTTGTCTATTTGATCAAAAGAGATTACATCTGGGTTAACAAATTTGATAGAATACACATAAATAATATGCAAATATTTTTTACTTACGTTATTTATCTATGGTGGTTTACAAAGTAATGCAACGTGAGGCTTTAAACTCAAGTTCAACTCACCTTCCCTATATTAAACTCTTAGACCAAAATAAATAGACTCCTACAAGACAGAGCTTGGATAGAGGGGGAAAAAAGACCCAACATTACAAACTAACCCTAGGACACCTCTTAAAATGCCTTTAGAAGCCACTCATTTTGCCACCAGATTATCCTTGTATATTATTGGAAGTGACTATTTAATGATGCTTTGGCCAAAAAAGGAAGACAATTTCATGATGCCATGCAGTGGAAGACGACACAGAGTTCTCTGGGCAAACCTCTCCTTCCACTCTTTCCCTCATTCTTTTCTTTCACCAACAACAAATGTCAAACTTTAAAAATTAGGAGCAAATCATTTGATAATAAATAATTTGTTATTGGGGTCAAAAACTGACAGTGAGCCTAAGCATGCAAAACTCAGATAGATCCATGTACATACCTGTGAGGTGGGCTCCAAGCCCTGAACCCCTACTTCGGCTACATGCACATAGCACATGAGGATGGCAGTTTTGGACACAATATGGATCTCTTTAAGATATTTTATTTCGGGGGAAAAAACTGAAATCAACAAGTTCCAAACTCACTGAATGAAAATATGACACCACTGATCCGCTTCTGAACAAGCAAGCAATATTGACACAAACGTGACATGAAACCATATACGAACAGATGAACCTGATTCACCACTCCTAGAACAGCACACCTATCCTTGCTTCTTAGTTACCAACTTGGTCAAACAATTAAGTAAAATTTGCAAATAGAATTAGAAATTCGTCAGAATTGTAAAACAAAAAATTTGGACTGAAGAGTAAATAATCAAGCATTTTAAAATCTCAAGGGATCTTATCTGTTGTATCTTGTTCAGCTCAAGATGTTCTTTACTTAAACATTATATGTTTGCTTCTCTGTCAAGTAATATCCATAATATAATCCCAACACAAAGCAAGAAATTGTTATGTCTTCAACATATTTTTCAGTTTTTTGGTTTTTCCACCATTGCTAAGGGAAAAAAATGCCTTCTCTCACTCACCTATGAATCATGCCAAACTCATGACAATTCAACTTCCTTTCAACCATTTGCTAAGTAGCTTTCTTTCCAATAGAAAATTTATCTTACATAAAGGCGCCCTAGTGCAAGTTCAAGGGAACAGGGAAGCAATAATAAGGACATCCTGTCAAAGCAAAGGATAATAAATACCAAATCTCACAATCTAAGTGCTGGTAAGCTTCACAGCCAGGTATACTGTCCTGAGATTCCACATTTATCAATATAACAAATTGAGCGAACTAATTGAGATGTTTAAGCTCTTTGTTAGCCAGTATATGTTTTGAGATGTTTCTTTGCCGCCAATAAATGCATTAATCTTGACATTTCATGCGCGGTATGGAGTTGGGATGGATAAACTCTCTGTCTTAAGTGTATTAGAATTTATTGTTATCAAATCTAGAACTCACCATCCATTAACTCGCTTAAACCAAAAAGGATCTCTACAAGTTAAAAAAGAGATAAATAGTCTTCTTGTTAAAGGTTATTTACTTGCTGTATGCTGTAACTAGCTTCCATTCATTCATTGCAGCCATAACAGTTCTTACCCCCTAAATAAGATATACCATTTCAAGTCTAAGCGAGAGATTCTTTTTTTTAAATAAAAAAGTGCTAGGCGAAAAGAAAAGGCAAATGGTCTTGACTAGGACGAAAAATAGTAGACAAGAAAGGAAATTCAATATATTATAAAAATCGAGAAACAAACCAATTCCACATACACTTTGACATTTCCTAGTCTAATTCCCGGCAAATACAGAACACATTATAGCATCCCAGGTGCTCCTACTCCTTGGTAAGCAAATTGGAAAAGCTCAGTTTCTTTGAAAAAAACGAGTGAAGTAGCCAAGAAGAAGCTAGAGAGAGAAAGGAAAAGCCAAATTTCAAAACTACACAAGATGAAGAAAGAGATAGCATTGTACTCACTACTGGCACCCCCGAGCTGGGTGACAGCATCGACGAATCGTTCGTGGAGGTCCTGGGTCCACCGGAGGCGAGGCTTGGGATCGGCGGTCAAAACCAGACACGGGTCGCCCTTGTGATTGTTGTGGTTCGAAGCACCCTCCAAATCTTCGATTATGCTTTCATGAGGGTGTATTAGTCTCGGAAACATCCTCTTCCTCCAGCCTCTCTTCAGCTTCAATAGTAAACTGAACTCAACTTCTCACGAGTTTACGAAATAGGAGAGTGAGGAAGAAAGGAAAAAGAAGAGGTGTGAGTCAGAAGAAAAGGAAAGCGAAGGAAAGGGGAGGAAAAGGATGGACGATGAAAGAGCCGTACGACAGGAACTGGCGTAGGCACGCTTTTCTGGGATCTTGTCTCTTTCTTCTTCCTTTTTCAAACAAATTTCAACATTTGTCCAATCTCTTCTTCCTTGCCTCGCTCAATCATTTTCCAAGGCCCTTCCTCGCACAATCGTTCTGGATTAATAGACTTTTTTTTTTTAAAAAAAAAGGAAGTGTGGTTGGACCGTTGGTAGACCCCATAAAATGTAAAAATAATACTCTTCCTTTCATCCTGCAACACTCATTTACTTTCATCATATTTCATCAAAATAAAAAAAAATTAATTTTATTAATTTTTTTAACATTTAACAAGTTTTTATATTATCTCTGCTTAACATAAGTAATTTTTTAAAAAATAACAATCTACACAACAATAAAGTTAAAAATTAAATAAGGTGATTTATAAATAAAAAACAAATTATTCTCTGTACCTTATTAATAGAACCGTTAAAAACTTCTAACATAAAAAAAAAAAATTGAATCGTTTTCATTTCATTAGACCCAATCACTACTAATGTAGAATATTTTTAACATGCTAGATATTACTTAACTCTAACATTTGTGCCACCTTATACGGTTATAATGATTTCATTAGGATACCAAAGTGTTTGTCTTTCTTTAATATTTGGATACCTCAAAGATTTGCAAGAGCAGACAGGACAGAGAAACATTTTCTGTGCCTATGAAACATCCCTCCAAACCTACATTTGTAGGTGGGTGCCGTGTGAGCATGTAGTTTTAGACTGGGACAGTTACCTGTATTTGCACGTTGCGGAGCCCACGGCTGCGAGGTGTACTGTGCAAAATGGGAAGAAGCTTGTGAAGACACAGTGTGTCTTCATTCTACATGATTCCTCTTCTCCTCCGCCGCAGATAATGTTTTAGTCCTAAATTATACTTATAATTAAATTAATCTTTCGGTCCCAAAATCTCGTTCCCCAGTAAATTTTTCTTATTTACTCATGAAAAAGATTATCGTCATTTTAAATTACAGTTTCAATAAGATTTCATTTTTAAACAAAAGTTCATTTTTAGATTTATTTCATCTATTCCACGACCAGAAGAGAATATACATCTTACACCACAATTTTGAGTCAGAAGAGAGATTTTAAGGAATGATATGTTTATTCACTTTATCAATAATCAAGCCGAGCTATGCAAAAGTAGTTTTGACACTTGCCTAATACTGCATGAACTTGCAATGAGCAAACAAGACGCAACCGTTAGGAAGAAAAATAGAAAGAAAAGAATTTCACCCAGAAAAAGAAGAAAGGAAGGAATACAGTCAATTTGCCTGCATTTTACATTAAACATGGACTTCTACCTAGGACAATCCCTCAAAGCCATAGTGATTAGAAGTGTATGTCTATTTATTGCAGATACCCATAGGATCAGCATTCTTGAGCATCCGAGGAAGGTCCATAATCTCCTGCAGTGATAGCCTTCTTGTGGAATCTTTCACCAAGAGCTGCATCATTTTCCAAATTGCATCCAGAAAATGACAATTAAATTTATTCACTGAAAAAACTTGATTTTGCTTGGATAAGAGTATGAATCAGAATCTGAAAATACCCGGCTAATTAGATTTTTGGCTTCTGAAGAAATAGCAGGAGTAGAAGGGAAATTTAGGTCAATCTTCATTATCCTGCGCAATGTTAAATGCATACTCATTATAATAGTTTATGAGGCATGGACACTAATATGGTCACATCTAACTTCAAATAATATATATTACTAGCATATGCGGTGCCCACACCGCCATTTTCTTGTATTGGGGCACACAACCTGTACATGTGTCCAAAATCGGCCATAACAATAATGGTGTCCAACGTTGTTTCTTCCTTTTGTTTTTTGGACAAACGCACTTTACTAAAAATGAGTGTACATGTCATTTATAGGTGACAATAACATCTATTACCACACAAAATGCGACACATGCTTTTCTCTACCTCTTGAGAGTGTCAACTTGACTCTCAGCCTCAAATGGGGGAGAACCATAGAGGAATTCATAACAAAGTATGCCCAAAGTCCAGTTATCAACAGAAAAATCATGTTCTTTGTTTTCTACCATTTCTGGTGCTAGATAATCCAATGTTCCACACATGGTATGTCTCTTACTTCTTGACCGTACAGACCAACCAAAGTCTGCAATTTTAAGGCGACCCTGCAATTAAACCATGGTCATTCAAGGGTACACCAAAAACGTCACTATTATAAACAGGAACCAACTAATTCCTGAAAGGTTTCATCTTATCTCTGCAGAAGAAATCAATATTTAGAGGATCAAATGCTCATTGATTTTCTTTTCACTGGATATAATCTTTGTCTGGTTGAAGAGAATAAAAGGAAAGGGCTTGGGCAAGAAAAAGCAATAGGCAGAAGATAACTGTAGATATACTTTCATGCCCATGTCAAATCAGGAAAAGCAAAATAAATTTTCAACGAAACCCTAATGAGGCCAGAGATGCAAACGTCATTTTGGAAGAAACTGCAAACTTTACATGTTTGGGATTCTATTGAAAAATCCAATGCTGGCTGAGTTGCTGTGAGTTGAAAATAATTAAGAAAAAACCCCATTGCTAGCAGAGAAAATGCCAAAGAGGAAAAAGAAGAAGAACAACAAACAAGAAAGAGGTAAAAATATACAGGTCCAGTCTATCGTACCTCATGGTCAAGTAACAAATTCGCGAGCTTTATATCCCTATGAATGACATGCTTCTCATGACAATATGCCAACACCTTTGTGAGGATCAAAATATACTAAAATTATCGCCAAAATGTTAAAGTCAATTTAACAATATAGGGAGTACAAAACAATATCTTCTTATATGAAGTTAAATAATAAGTGAAGTTCACTCAAAAAAAAGTTAATAATAATAAGTGAAGTTTTTTTGTGAATTTCTAATTCATTTTTGCCAAATCCTTCTCTTTTTCGAAAATTTTCCAGAGCAGCCTTATTCATTTGATAGCTACCATCAGCATAAACATCACAGCTTGAAACTTGTAAGCATTTCAGAAAATGCATGGTCCATTCACTGTCTCAGTTACTTCTTCGATAAACTCACAAAACAAACTATAGCTTCCCATGCTCTAATTCAGCTTTCTCAACGCTAAATAAAGTAATGCCTTGAACGATAAACGTACATTCTCCAAATACAGGACATATCAAGGCTAAGGCTCCATAGTGAATCATTTCATCAGAATAATAGAAGTAGGCAGAGGGATGTGCAGCAAGTAAAAGCTGACAAAAAATAATTACCGTGGCTGCTTGCTTCTCATTGAGATGACCTCCTTTTTCTGAGCTCCTTATAAAGCTCACCATTATGAGCATACTCAAGTATCAAGAAAACCCGTTCAGCATCATGGAACCAACCATAGAGACGCAGAATGTTGGGGTGCTGAAGACTGGTCTCAATCTCCCTCTCTCTCCTCAGTTGATGCTGAATTATGTACTTTTCTATTTTCTCCTTAAAGATAACCTTAAGTGCCACGATATATTTGCTCTAAAAGGAATAACATAAAAAAAATCCATAAACAGCCATCTATTCGAGTTGCTACTTCCAAAACAATATTGAATGTCAAATGTAGTTCGGCACCAGCAAAGTAGAGAAATATACACATCAAGGAATTCATGGTAAGAAATCACCACACCATCAGACAGAAAAAGAAGTAAAAAGGCTATTTCCTTTACTCCACTATAAAAATGAACATTCAACGTTAAGTGAAACAATGAAAAAGAATACCAGATATTTATAAAATTGAGCAAGAGGTATCAATTGAACCAGTATAAAACAATGTGGACTCAGATACACACACACATATTGATTTCAGGAAAGTAAAATTTGACAGCATAAGTTCTGAACGAGCCGTGCAGAAGTCTGAGTTTGGTAAATTGGGTACCTTGACTTCTCGAGGAACGTAGACTCTACCGAATTTCCCCTTTCCAAGGGGTTTTCCGATCTCGAGGTCTCTCAAAGACCATTGCTTTTGGGAAACCATTTCGGTGTTCGGTGATTCTGCAACTGAAGTGCTAAAAAATAAATGAGCAGGATACAGCAAGTGGCAACGATAACGGCGACTATGGAAATCAGAACAACTAATCGAAGATGGAACTCGTGAAGCAGAACAACTAATCAAGTAAAGAGAAAGAAGAGCGAAGCACAAAGGAAGCAAATATAAAAGGAAGAGCGGGAAGACGAGAAACTCCTCATATTTGCTTCGACAAACACTTCAATCAAATAAAACGAAAAATTAGTTGTTCTGCCCATATTTCAAGAGAGAGAGCTTGTTTGGCATTATATATAAAGCACTTTTTTTTTTGGGTTCAAAATATATAAGCACTTTTGATCACATAATACGTTCGGATGAAAACAAAACTATCATTTTAAAAATATTTTTACAATATATAAAGTAAATATGTAAAGAAACTTGTCTCGATTTGTAGAAAAGTATTTTTTCAAAACACTTCTTACGTTGAAACAAATTTTTTTTTCATATTTAACTTATATTTTGTAAATTTGTCCAAACCATAACTGATGTGAAAATGTACATTTTTAATATTAATATTGAGTTAGAAAAAAAAATTGACCAACAAAATTTTAAAATATTTTAATATTTAATACATTTTTTCTAGTTGAAGTTAAGATATTTTTCTTATGTTTTATATGGAATTTGAGATAAATTATTAATGATATTGTTTATAATTTTTTTTGACCTTCGGTTTTATTGTTTATGATGAGTAAAGAGTTTATCTTTTTTCCCCTGCTGGGAGAAGCATATGCTTATTAAAGTAGATATCTAATCAATTTATTGATGACTTATGAATAGGATATTTTTAATAAAATTTACATATATTATATATAAATATAGATAAATAGAAATAGAGATGTACTAGTATGCATCTAAATTAATTTATACACAAATTAATCAATCTCTCCATAATATGTCTGTGAGATTTGCAGAATGGGAAGAAGCTTATGAGGGCACAGTTTCTTCTTCAGCTCGCCCACCCCCCCCCCCCCAAAAAAAGAAACAATGTTTTAGCCCTAAATTATAATTATAATTAATCTTTTGGTCCCAAAATCTCGTCCCCTGTAAATTTTCTTATTTACCGATAAAAAGGCTCATCATCATTTTAAATCATGGAACGAGCTAAGCAGAAGTACTTTTGATACCTACCCGATACTGCATAAAATTGCTACGTACACATTTCCAAAAATGTCCTCCACATTCATAATAAAGGGAAATTATTTCATTTTTCAATGTGAATTTGATATAATTGGAGTAGACTACTAAATGACCTATCCATTTGCTTATTGTTGATGTTGTTGTTGTTATTTCCTAAAGATAATCAAAATTCATGAGTCTAGTACTCTTCTAGTGTTAAATATAAGACCCTTATACACATTTGTATAAGGGTCTTATATTTAAGATCGAAGGAGTAATTTTTTTTTTTTTTCAATTTCAGAATAGAAATAGAAACGAGATCTCCCTCAGAGCCCTTTCGTATGTATGGTCCTGTTCATCCTGGTATTTTAAATGTCAAAAAATTCATCTAAAACACCTAATATCCATGAAGGATTAATGTTGCACAAACAAGAATCACGAGTTACCAGCTTCTAGTTAGTCATGTATAGTGTGCAAATGAATCCTCTACCCTGATTATTATTTTCGTTGTTATATATATATGTATGTATAATATAATGAAAACCTCTTCTCCTCGTCCATCCTCTAGCGCCAACTTTAGAGGCATTTCAGCATTTTCCAACTTCAAAGGATCCAGTTCTGTGTAATTTCCACAACTGCCCTTGTTGTTGTGAAAAACTAAAATAGGAATAACGCGAAAAAAACTTGGTCAAGAAGCTGTCAACAGAAATTGGTTCAAGAACAAGTCAAACAAAATTTAACCATCATCAGTAACAAATCAATTTTCAAGGTAAACTACAAATTATAGTGTGTATTGTGTATCTTTTCCGGCTCTATATGATTACAATCTACCTAAATCTAAGACTTAGAAAAAAACAGGAAGGGGAGGGGGATGACTGAAGACGGATGGCAAGGAGTCGATTGGTCTCCATGAACTTGCATTTTCAAAGTCTATAAACAAGCACATCAGTACCTGGCGTATCTAGCCATACACCGCTAGTTCTTAGCTGATGTTCAACAATGGATATTGATCCAACAAGTAAAGACGCAACTACTTGATCGGCTATGTCAGCTCAACGTGTCCATATAAATTAGCGTGCCCGGTTACAGTTTAGATCCCTTTCACCAATGGATGATGGATCCAAGAAGACAGAAGAGGTAGAATCCTTTCGTTGGAGCCAAACTAGCACGGACGACTCATGTACAGTGAGCCATAAATTTGTATCGTCTGACTCATTCAAAAGTCTCTATTCAGGGACCAAAGCATTGATTTGTATACTTTTCAGGGACTGATTCGTGCATTTTCAAAGTCTATAACCATGCAAATGCTTGGCCCACCTTCTAGCCATATAAGGGTCATGAAAATCCCAACTTTCAACACAGCTAGTCCTCCCAATTGAGCTCATATTCATCCCTGACTCCACCGTATCAGCATCTAGAACACCTGCACCTTTATCATGGTCTCCGATGCCCACAACAATTTCCCCTGTTCTTCTAACACACTCATCGATCTCACCTTCAATGTAGCTATATTCCACATACACATGTGAACACTCACCCAAGTCTAGCAAAACTCTCCTTTCTTCCCCACCTCTTAGCTCACCAATTCGTATGACCCTCCCACTGCCAAGTTCCTCCCCAGCCCCACATATTCTCAACTGTATTTCCCTCACAATCCCTCCCAGCACCTTTGCCAAGAACTCCTCAAACTCATTTATCACAAATCCATTTGAAGCACCATATCCAAATCCAACATGAAAGCGATGAATGGGGGTTGATGGCAGCTCCATACTAACAGCATGGTATGGCCTTGTAGGGTTATCTGATAAATGCAAGATACAAGATTCTGGGTTCTTGTGGACACGATCTTCAAGTATTTTGATTCCTTTCTTCAAACCCTCAGAAGGATCAGCTTGCCCCATGTAGAAGAGACGGTCAATAACTTGAAGGGCAGTACGTTTGCCATAGGATGTCATTCGCTTTAAGGGGAAGACACGAGCTGCAGCTGAAGAGTATGTGACTATGGCCAAGCGATCTATTTGTCTGAGGGAGAAAACCACCAGAGCCATAGATTGTTTGAGAAGCCTTAGGTGTGGTCCATTAGGGCTAGCCACTAAGACTAAGTCAATTGCTCGTTCATGAGCCAGTTCTACCGAGAGATAAGCTCTATTTAAGGAGGGATACGTTACATAAGGTGGTGAATGAGAGAGTGAAGAGGAGCTGCAGGTTAAAGGATGATGAGATGGATGGCATGGGCTTGAGGCATTCTTAGGCAATAGCAAAGCTGGATGGAAGCTTGGCGGTGGTGCACTAGAAGGTGGAATAGGTGCTAAAGAGAAACACAACTTGGGACTCTCAGCCATGGTATCAGGCTCAACAGGGTCATCATCATCATAGCGGACAGCACGAAGAAGTGAGTGGCGATGAACACGAAAGTTGGCAATGGAATCATCAAGGATTCGCAGGATGGGATCACTTTGGTTACAAGAAGTGTAGCGGGTGTTGTTCAGATTGCGAGGAAGCTGGGTCCAGTAGGCACGGCAGATTGGACAAGTGACACTACCATGGCGGACATTGGAAGAGATGCAGGCAAAGTGGAAAGCATGCGAACACTGAGCAGTGAATATGGCTTGGCCTGGACTGCATCCCTTGCTGGTGTAACTCAAGGGATCTAAACATATTGCACACAGACTCTGCAATGTGTAAACAAAGAAAGCAAGCGGAGTCAACATAACAGGCTATGTGGGAAAACACACTTAACCACAACCAAGTAAATGTTGTGTTACAACCTAGAGCACAGAATGAGATTTGAATCTGAAATGTTATTTGTGCTCTGAAATAACTGAAGATTCTGTTTGGGAACATGTAGGCTTATCTGGGATATAATCATTTGTAGCTTGGTTCCCCCAGCTTGGTTTATTAAATATTGTAAAATTTATTATATACTCCACTAGGTTCACCAAAGGATGATATACTCCACTTTTTCAAGTCAAAAATCAGTGATACCTAGAACAAATAGCCGAAACCATTGAGCATTGGCTTTTTATATGAGAAACTTTTCAGTGAGAAAAAATGTGAATCAATTTCTAGTTATAGTGGCTTGAGATCCACATGGAGATGAGAACACATGCATTGAATTTCAGCTATTTATGGAAACATATACTCCCTCTGGTCCTAAATATAAGATCTCTTTACTTAATTCACAGAGATCCCAAAAAAAAAAAAAAGCTCATCTTTTTGTAATTAATGGATCAACAATTTGTGATAGTTTTCCTGAAATATGCCTCTCCTTTATTGGATTATTGGCTTTCAATCATTTAGATTTGAAAAAAATAAATAGGAATACTTTGAGAAAAAAATAATTAATATGACAGACAAAAGCGGATAAAATTTCATATCATGGACTAAATCAAAGTGCTCAACAAGAAGGAGTACGAATGCATAATTTCGAAGAACCTGCCAGACTGCTTGTTACTTGATGTTAGGGTTAGACATAGTCTTTTTTCTCCCCCTTTCTTTGTTTTTTTTTTTTTCCACGAAGGAATTTCTGAGATTTGACGCTCTAGATGCTATAGATTGTGTCTACCGAAGAAGTCTACTTCCTCAAATATGTTTAATTGAATAATTAATAATTAAATTTACTGAAAACAAGTCGAATAAATTAACCTAAGAGAAACATATAAAAATGCTATTAAAAAAAAACATATAAAATAACAAATATATTTCTTTAAGAATGATAATAGTTCAAGACATTTATATATATACTCATTGTTTAGTATTGATAATGTTTATAAATAGTCCCTTTATATAATTTTTATTATAAAGAGAATTATTGACTGAAATTTCTCTTAAAAAATTATGATTTGTAATGTAGATAAAGCGAAACTTCCCAAGTGGGGTCAAGGTTTATAAGGAACTAATTCTTGGCTTCACTAATGCGCAAGGTGCACGGGCTTTCACATGCTAAAATTCTTGATTTAATCCGGTTGGTGGTCCAAATAAAATTTTTGAAACATAAATAAATCTTTAGCTCCTGTGTTGCCAAATCTAATAGTGAGAAAAAGAGAGGAATAAAAAGAAGCGGATGATGATGATGATGATGATGATGAAGGGGGCAATCAATGGCAAAATTTAGCGCTAGATCTTTTTCTATTTATTGCATTCACGGATTGTGATTTTTAAAGTAGTTCTAGAATCCAACACACCAAAAAGGATGAAGCAGAAAAATGTGAAAACGGCAGAATCTTTTAACATAAACGCAGTGGATTTTCGATCGAAGACTGTCTTTAATCCGACATTTCAGGGGAGAAAGGATTTTTCTTTTTTCTTTTTATAATAACATCACCAGTTTACCCCCGCAGAGTGTTAATTTATTTAACAAAGGAAAAAATGGTTCGGTTGATTGAAGGAATTGCAAAACAAATTACCTTATTATGAATCTCCTTGTTGGTGTTCTTAGGGGTGATTCTACAATCTGTTTCTTCAACTATCTCCCCTGAGTTATTCTGCGTTGTTGATGGAGATACCGAAGAAGCGTGAGAGATCTGTGACCAAGCACGAAAGCAATAGCCGTCAAATTCTACTCTTAAATCCTAATAATGTTATTTCCCAGGTGAAGAATACCGAAATCAACAAGTAACTTCAGAAATATTGGAAAATCACATTGAAAACGACTAATTACAATAAATTCCTCGGGTAAACCATTATTAGAAAAGTTGAAATTGAGTTTGGAGAAAGCAATTCAAAATGAGCAATAAAAAGAACACACAGCATAGCAAAACCTACGAAAGAATTTCGCGCCAACATTCTTAATTTCGTTGAAATTTTCAACAGAGGAAAAGAAGAAAGAATAAATATCGGTGTCAATTATCTACGCAGAAATTATGAAAATGGAAGACCAATTTGCAGCCCTCAAACTGCAGAACTTCTTCAATTGAAACCACCGGCAAATTCTCGAAACAAACGGATAAATTCACAGATGGTCCAATCAGGAAAGACGAAACCAAGAGAGAGGAATTAGAAGAGCATTTTAACCTACAAGCATTTGTAGGAACTACGAACGAACAACTGCAGTTCCTACATCGACATTCTTAATTCCACTGAATATTAGAATGTGAGAGATTTACTACATAAAAAGGGTCAGTTATCAACCACCAATTCGAGAAAAATAGAAGGGCAGTTCACAATTCTTTTCTGAGAACTAAGTCCAGCTTTCCGGTTTCGGCTAGTTCAAAATGTGAAGCATCTTCAACAGTAAAAACTACAGAGAAAACCCACTATTCGAAGGAAAAAAAGGACTGAATGAGTCAATGCTGATCCAACCAACCTGAGATCAGGAAAATTAGAAAATCAATTTGAAGAAAGAAGAAATGGGGGGACAGATGAAGGCAACAAGCATTTCCGAAAAGAAAACGAAGCTTCGAGGTCTGAGCAATTTCAAAATGAAAAACAGCGTCAACGAAGAGAAGAAGTGGCGGAGAAAGAAAGCAATTGTGGCGATACAAGAAAGAAAGAAAGGGGGGAGGTATGATTACAGAGTGTGGATCGACGAGAGCTTTTCTTCTGGAGAAAGAGCCACAAGCGGAGGTCGCAGCTAGAACCACCTTCATTGCCGCTTGTCTGAGCGTGGATGTCCCCCTTCTTCTTCGTTCTCCTTCTCCCATTGTGTTATCGAAGCTTGAAGGAGGTAGTGGTTGGTCCGACTCGGAGGATTGTGACGCAGAGAGCAACCAGAGCAGAAGAAGCTGAGAGGTAGACAAAGCGCTCTGCCAGATTCACCAGTTGTCTGCCCTCTCCACGCCCGTCTTACGCTTCCTTTCCAATATAAACTCACCATTAATATTTCAGTCCACCAAAAAAAAAAAAAAAAACTCTCCATTAATATTAATTAATATATAACAACGGAATTGGTTAAGGTTTAAGGAAAGAAGCATACTAAATTAAGATTTGAATCTCATTTGCAAATACTTATTTAGTCGTATTTACAAATCACTCCTAACATGTTTTACATAAACTAATAGAAATTTTAAACTCCATTAACTCTTATTTAAAATTTAACAACTTTTAAACTTTATTCTTATTTAATATATATTATATTTTATATAAACTAAATTAATACAATAATAAGTGAAAGATAAAATTATATATCTATATAAAAAATTTCTTTTAATACTCTATAAATAGGATCAAAAAATATTTTCTCTTTCTCTCCCCTATAAATAGAATCAGAGGAGTATATCTATATTTGATGCTTGATAGTTTTAGCTCTTATATTAAAAACTTAAACTAGTATTAATTAATATACATTAGCTGGGGTCTGTAGTATTAATTAATACTCCTCCGATTCTTAATATAGAACCTAATTGTTGAGTTGTATTTGGTTCTAAATATAAGACTCATTTATCATATTTATCAATTTTCTTTAAATTCTCCCTATGGATACTTCCTCAACCATAATCAAGTAGAAAAGGAAGACGGGGTATTAAAAAAGATGATTATGGTATTTTAAGAAAAATGTGTCACAATTCTTACAATTAACTAACTTACCTAACTTCCTTAATCTAATCAAATTCGTTAAATATAAGGACCGGAAGAGTATATATTAGCTCTTGTCCGTGATATTTTTTTGCCAAAATATTTGCACACATTGGTGATTTATTTATTTATTTTTACATATATGGATAAACTCATAATTTAAAAGTAAGAGGTGTTTGTTGTGGTTTGAGTTATAAATTCCTAACTTATATAATTTAGGTTTATAATAATATAAACACTAATGAGTACAATTATTCATGTCTCATGAATGGAATTAACTCTTACCTTATGTGCCAAACACGGTATAAGATTTTCTGTTTATAATATTTTTAATGCTAATATTGATAATTTGATACACCTACTTACTCTCGCCATAAATTTCTTTTTTTTTTTTTAATAGTTTACACCAACTTTTGCTGTGCATAAAAAAAGAAATTATATATTTATTTCTGTCCGTATTTGATGTTCACACTTTTGAACATCCAATTTTTATTAAAAGTAAGAAATAATTAAATTTACTTTAATCATAGTAATTTCTGTGTGTTATATGAAAATTTTGGTGATTATTGTGTGGTATCTCAAGCAAGGACTACTAATAATTATCTAATTCAGAAATAATAGCAAGGGCTGGTGCCATCAAGCTTACTGAAACTTTCTTAAGTTTTTTTTTTTCCCAAAAATGGTGTAATGTTATATGGAAATACATAAAATATTTTATAATATATATATATATATATATATATGTAGAGAAAGAGAGAGTGAGAGAAATGATGGTTGAAATGGATGGATGAGAGAGAGCATGGGAGAAAAAAGAAGAGGGTCCTTTTCAAAGACAATGAAATTATTTGTGGGGCCAACCCACTTTACCTGATTGACCACATTTTTTTCTTTTCAATAATCAACAACAATAATAATAATGCTTGGACCACTCTAATTTCCTTCTTTCTTTTTTCATATTTTTCTTCCTAACATAATCCTTTCTCTTCACTTTGATTTCTTCCATATTTGAAAAAATCCACAATATACACAAATAAATTAGTTAGGCTAAATCTGGACATCTTTATTTTATTTTATTTAAATATTTCTAATTATAAATTTAGACTATTCAAATTTGACTTGCATAATTTAAATTTAATGTCTACTCATTATTGGAAGTGTACTCAAAATTTTACAACATTGAGATATTGGTTGTACTTGTATCTCATCTTTAGTTTAAGTTTAGTTTATTCAAATTTTGTTAATTTCTCTTTCATTTTAGTACCTTTAATTTTAAAAAATTAATTTCCACAATTCAAATCAAATTGTGAACCTTTTCAAATGTGTACTTACTAATGAACTAAGACCTTTTGTTTTTGCCAACTAATGAACTAAGAACTTTTTGTTTTTCCAACTAATTAACTAAGAACTTGCACCTATTAATGATAATAATGGATCAGTTTCAATACCTTAATTACTTTTCATTATATTTTTTTGGCCAACAATTACTTTTCATTATGTTGGTCACTTAATTTTCAACATTTTTATTATTAAATTCACATTATAATATAGTACAATTTATAATTATAATATTCTGTGGCTCCAAAATCTAGACCGTAAGCTATAGTGCTTGTGAAACATGATGACCATTCAAAGATGAAATTAATGATGATCGCATTGTAACACTGATCAGCTTCATTGTTCATTGTTATACCTTTTATATTAAAAATAATAATCTTTCGATTTTAAATATAAGATTCATTTTGTAGTATAAATTACATTACAAAATAGTCTTATATTTAGGATTGAAAGAGTATTATAATTTCACGTTTCACATATAAATAATATCATTGGTACAAAAAATAAATTGTAAATCTTTAAAGGAGCATTTGCTTTTGGATTTTTCACAAAAATATCAATGCTTACGCGGAGGCAACAATTTTTTTCAAAAATATCAAAACCTAATTTATCGATTAATGAATGAAACATAAATATTGAAATTTCAAAAGGGGGAGGAGGAAAAAGGGTTTAAAGATTTCCTTTGGTACGGGAAAATGACCGTTATGTTTAAATTTGAAAGGTCTAGTAATAATTCTATTGCGTGCCTTGAAAATTGAAGAGAAGTTTCACTTCATTTGCAATGACTAAAGCTAACACAAAGGAATCATTAGATGATAATTTTTATGTAAATTTATTTTTAAAAAAATTTATAATCAAAGACTATATAACTACAGAAAAAAAGAGCTTTATAACCAAATATAGGCACGTTTAATATGTTTATTTAAAGTAAATTATTCTATTAACGTTACATATATCAAATTTGCTTTAAAGTTTTTCAAGTGAATTGGCGCCCAAATGTTTCTCTTCATTTAGTTGCATTTCATCATTGGACTCAAGGCCTATGTGGGCTACTCTACAACCGCGTTGCCTTTATTCTTTTTAATTGCAATTTCATATTAAATGAGGTTGTTGTTGGTGGGGGGAAGATTGGATTTAATTATTTAACCAATTCCTAATAAAACCATGGGAATTATTTTTTTAATTTCATTTTTTATCTTATGTTATTATATGCATCAAACAAGTCTAAAAAGAAGAAATTGACACATGTATTTAATATAGGCTTCGCCTTGATTGAATTTGAATTTGAATTTGAACTTGTATTTATTTTTTTGAATTTTTTTTTGGATGACAATGAGCACAACAAAATGTATTAATGTATCATACCTTATAAAGCAAACTGGGGACCAAAAAAGGAAAAGAAATTGAAAGAAAAGAAAAAGATTATTCAGCAATAACACAACTAGCTTCAGAGGCACTTTTATAGGCATGCTTGTTTATTTCTTTTCTCCTCCAGCGCTCTTTGATCTGAAAAAGGGCACATTGTTCCATTGATGATTGAACCACAATGTGGAAGATGGTAAATGAGGCCATAAAATGGCCTCCCTCTTTTTCATGCTTTATTCTTTTTCCTTCTTATTCTTCTCTTTCTTTTGTGCTTTGTCCCATACAGTCTCCGACCTAAAAAGCAGAGGGCCCCAAATTACCTTGCCTTCTTTTTTGAAGTTGGATCACAATTCGCTTCACAAGTAAGATAAATGGATATTACTGTCTAAATTCATATGAAACAATCAATAACATTAGAATTCCACACACCAACTTCATGGTTAATGATAAGCATGAATAGAGAGGGACACACAAGATTGATAAGTTCTTTAAAATATTACGTCCAAGATCTAATCCTTAAAAAAATAAAAAGATTCAAAGAAATTTTAGTTGTTATCAAGGACCAAATTCATTATTGATTATTTTTCTTCCAAAAAATCTACTTTAATTTTTTAAGAAAATTATGATTTTAATAATCCTGTATTAGCATTGCTGAAGTTTAGAATTTATTTTCTTATAACATCCGGTAGAACTTGACTTTACTCATTAGAAATAAACATGATTTTAAAGATGTTTTAATTCCTTCCGTTGTTACCAACAGGGGAAAAAAGAAAGATCTTTCGAACTAAGTTTTCTTTTCCTAAGATTTGGGTCCTCAGACATGATTTTCCCTAATCACGCTCCTTCTTCCAAGTGTTTGGCTTCATTAATTTCACAAGTCATAACAACTTAGGTGGGTTTGGGTCAGCATAGATTAAACTAGTACAAATGATTTGTCATGAACATCAACACATACCATGAATTCAGCTGCTTTTTGTCCATTTGCTAACAATGATCAGTTTCTTCCGTATCCATAATTTAATGGGTTGTTAAGCAAGCATAAGCTCCAGTCATACGTTCCAACTTCCAAGCAAGACAAAAGGAAGAGAACAAACAACAAGACTTCAAAAATCTCTATTTCATTATCTATAACATTATTTTTCTTGGTAATAAAAAGCAAAACATAACCATCCTACTTTCCATGAAGATTCTGGTTTATCCACTAGAAGTTGTTCAAGAGGGGTTAACAAAATTAGATAATAGATAGTTTTCTTCAAAGCAAACGACACCAGGAGGGCCTGAAAACGACAATAGAACTAAAGGAAGCTGTTGACAGTATTGAAAGCTTCAGAGTCTCCTTTTTGGTGACTGAGATATGGGAAAGCGATCATCAATGAACCTCTCTTGTTCATGAAAAGAAGGTAAAGGGGAAAGCCTGTTGCTTGCTAGCCTACAAAGTAAGACTGTGACTAATTGCTTCCTCATGTTGAAATTTGACTAAGTCAGATCTAGTCCCAAAAGGGGATTAGCGCAGATTATGTACTAGGATCTTATCTGTCTAATCTATTCCTAATTTCCGGTCTCTATCTGTATAATTTTTCCCAATCATGAACAATGTTTTCTTGATGTCTGTACGGTGCTCCCCTGTTTCCGGTGCTTGTTATTAATACAGTTTTGTCATTTTCTAATAATTCTGGCACCTTCGTTTCTTTTTTTCTTTTTTTTTAAGTCTTAATCACGCGGTGCTTAGATTCCAAAGTCAGTCATGAAAGCTTCAAACATGGACCACAAAATAAAGATAAAGAATGAAAGAGTGATACCCGCACCTTCCAAAAGTCATATGATCATAACAGGAAAGAAGAGGAAATCTTTGGCTAATTTGAATTTGATATGGCCTTTGAAGCTGAACAGTATGCAACAATTTTATGATTTTTTAACTCCTTCACTTCACTTTTCCAAGTTCAACATCCCCTCAACGATTAACTGTTGTAATCTTTACATCCTTTGAGTTTACTCAATAGTGTTTTTAACGTTGAGCATCAGCCTCAATCAGCTGCGATCAATGCATGAACAGGGCACTTAGATTTACAGTAACCAATAAAGTAATTCTTCAACTTATATTTTATCAGGATTCCAGCTGCCAAGGACCCGATTTTGTGTTAAGAAATGTGTAAGCTACAGTTAGTCTTTCAATACTTGGAAACTATTCCAGTAGCAATGGATTCTCTTGTGTATAAACCATCTCCCTCATCAAAGGCTGAAGATTCTGCAGCAACAATCCGTAAATTTCCTCAATCTGAGGATGGGATCTATCCCCAACAACAAACACGTGATTCTTGCCTCTTACTTCTATTAGACTGTATCCAGGCCTTCTTTTCACACTTCTCTCCCTCATTTTTTTCTTCACTTGAGCAAACTCATCCCATTTACCTTCTGCAGCATATGCGTTAGCCAACAGTGCATAGCCCCCTGAACTAGATGGGTCTAGCTCCAGTAGCTTCTCACCGATAGAATTTGCCGTTTTAGCATCCCCACGAAGCTTGCAAGCTCCAAGCAATGCCCCAAGTACAACTCCATCCCTCTCAGAAGGAGGCATTTTAACTACTATATCTATTGCCTCATTTAATAGTCCTGCTCTACCTACAATATCCACAAGACATGCATAGTGCTCTGCCTTTGCTTTTAAGTTATAAGCGTCCCGCATTGAATCAAACAATCTTCTGCCTTTGTTCACTAGGCCAGTATGACTGCAGGCAGATAAGAGACCCAGAAAGGTTATTGCATCTGGGGTTGCTCCTGATCTTAGCATGCAAGCGAAAGCCTGTAACGCATGGTAACCATGTCCGTGATTTGAGTAGGCAACTATCATTGATGTCCATGAAACTGCATCTTTCAACTTTAATTGCTCAAAAGCAAGCCAAGCAGCACGAAGATCTCCACTTTTGGAATACATATTAATAAGAGCATTAGTGAGCGAGGTGTCTTGTTCAAAACCAAGATGTATGACTTGTGCATGAGCTTGCATCAGTTCCAGCATGCCATTAGAGGAGATGACTACACTTGTCATAGTGGCTTTATCGGGTCTAAAACCAGATCTTAGCATCAAAACAAAGTACTTTAAGGCACTTCCTTCGTCGCAAGTTCTTGTATAACCGTCAATCAAGGTGTTCCAAGTCACAATATTCTTCTCAGGCATCAAAATGAAAAGCTCATGAGCTTCATCCATGAGCCCTTTCATAAGATACGCTGCAATCATAGCATTCCATGCAGCGATATCTTTATTAGGCATCTGATCAAAATACTTCCTCGCACTGTCAATCATCTTATTTCGTGCCAAACCTGAAACCATAATTGTCCACGAAATAGAACTCCTTTGAGGCATAGAATCAAACAATTGAATAGCTTCATTGACTCTATTAGAACTTAGACAACCTGAAATCATGATGTTCCAAGAATACATGTTTCTCTGGGGCATTTCGTGAAAGAGCTTAGCCGCTTCAAAGAAATGATCATGTTCAAGATATGACTTGATCATAACCGTCCAAGCTATAATATTCTTTTCAGGCATGAGGTCAAAGAACTTCCGAGCTTCGTTCAAAAATCCATTTCGAGCATAACCCAAAACAGTTGTGGTCCATGAGACCACATTTTTCACCGGAATTTGATCAAAAATACGCCGGCCCTCCTCAACTTTTCCACTTTTAAAATATCCAGAAATCAAACTAGTCCAAGAAAACTCATTTTTCTCAGTCATGCTATCAAACACGTCACGAGCATCATCTAAACGACCAGCTTTAACGTATCCATCAATCATTGCGGATTCAGCAACAGTGTTTCTTTCTGGCATTGCCTTAAATAACAATTCAGCGCTAGATAGATCATTGTTCTTCAAGTAAACCGTGATCATGGAGTTATAAGAAACATCGTCCCGGTGAGCCATTTCGTCAAACAGCTTCCTCGCTTCATTAACTCTGCCCAGCCGACCCAGGCTTATAATTTCCACATTACACTTACGCACTACTTCCGAACCCCTCGGTCTCAATTTTCGGAGACTCAAACTCCCATTGTCTGAAATGAGAGACCAATTCGGTTTTCTGGCCAAATCTTTTCTTGGGTGATTGGAAGTTGAAGCTCTGAAACACCCGCGAAGACGAGAAGTTACGCAAAACTTGGAAATTGTGCGGCTGTGGCATGAAAGTAACATGGTGACAAAAGATCCAAAACAAAGGATTGCATCGGAATGGTATGTCCAGAAGCATCGCACCGTAAAGAAGCTCAGTATTTCAGCAAGAGTGCTACTCCATAGCTTTCTTCACTTGTAGCTCCCTGGAGGTAATCAATGCGCACTTGTACGTTAGTTGACACTCAAGTGTCAACCATTTTAATTTAACGTAGATAGTAGAAATTTAATACTCCTCCGGTCTTATTATAAGATCCCATTTGACTTTTTATTTGATCCTAATTATAAGACCCCAATCCATTTTGTTACTTATATTTATGCATTTTTTTCCAAGATAATCCTTCTAATAATGATAGTTTTAACCAATATACTTAATTAGCAAGGATATTTTAGGAATGACAACACTTATTTATTATAAATAACCAACTTAACTTACTTCCTTAATCTCCTCAAATAAGTCAATTGGGTCTTATAATTAGGACCGGAGGAGTATCTAATATTTTTATTTAAAAAATATTTCTAATATATATATAATCCAAAATAAATATAATCTCTTAATGATAAATTTTTTTTAAAAAAATTTTTATTTAAAAATTATTAGTTGAAAAATTTAAATCCATAACATTAAAATTGATTTTAAATAATTTAAATTTCATTGTAATGATGATCATTACTCATTATTATAATGAATACTAAAACTGGTTCTCTTCGGCACATATTTTTTTGAAAAAGTTCACAAGTAGCCCTTGTATTTCAACTCATATTTAAACATTTACCATGTAATATTAAAATCCAAATGATAGCTTCCTTTATACTATAGCGAAAGTGGGAGCATACTCCTCCATTTGCCTTTTTTCACCCCCTGCTTTCAAAGATCATCTAATGGAAATTTTTCATTAAAGGGTGTTTGGCTTTGAGATTCCAAACAAAATATTCAAGGCTGAACTGTGAAATTTTGAGCGAAATTGTGACCAGACGGTTAGGAGGGAATGCATCTAGGTTCCAAATGACAAATGCAATTATTAGGGTTTGAAAACAAACCATGGCTTATTTGTTGAAAAAGTAATTATATATTTGTGAATTGGTATCTTATTTAGGATCAAGTTAAAATTTCTAACTAACTAAATAAATTTATTTTGGTAAATGAGTGGGAAAAATTAAAAAAAAGAAATAAAAGACATGTAATTAATCAGTGGTAAAAATAGAAAAATGCATTAAACTTTTTTATATGCACATATTACCTCCAATCCTAAATATAATAACTAGTTGACTAATTTGTATAGATCAAGAAAATAAGATAAGTCAGTTATTTATAATGAATAGGTATTGTCTTTTTTAAAAAATCTCACTAACCAAGTATATTGGTTAGAATTATTACTATTAGAAGAACTATCTTAAAAAAATACGCAAATATGAGAAAGAAAGTAGATTGAGATCTTATATTTAAGACCAAAATAAAATTAAATGAGATCTTATATTAAGGATTAGAGGTAGTATATCTTTTTATTAGAGACAAACACAAAATGTTACTTATATACGCTCCTTAATATAATAGCTAGTTGACTAATTTGAGTAGATTAAGAAAATTGGTTACCTTAGTTATATGTAATAAATATGTGTTATCTTCTCTAAAATATCCTTACTAATCAATTGTATTGGCTAAGATTATCATTATTATAAGAACCATTTTAGGAAAAAATGGATAAATATGAGAGACAAAGTGGATTGAGGTATTATATGTAGAACCAAAATAAAATTCAAACAAATTCTTATATTAAAGATGGGTATAAAATAAAGACCAAAGAGTTAATGTCCAATTTTATCCTGAAAATTTTTATTAAAAAACTGTGAGCATCGGGACTTTTTTTTTTTGGTTGGTAATATCACCCGAGAAACGTAGTAATGTTACCATGATTTTTTTTTTGCTATAATATGTATAGGCATCCTCCTATTGGAGACAATCCTATTCAAGATACTGTTAGGTACTAAATGTGGACACTTCTTCTAACATAGATTTGAATCTTAGTTCACCAGCTCTTTCTGTTAAACCTAATCCTGCTGGTAATGTTACTATGAGTTGTGTTGACTGATGACAAGGAACCTGTTCTAATGAAACTCAATTTTTTTGGTTAAAACATAGGTATCCTTCTATTGGAGACAATCTTATTTGAGGCATTGTCGGGCACTAAATGTGGATACCTCTCCCAGCAGGGATTCAAACCTTAGTTCGTCACATTATGAGGGACTAACTCCTTCTGCTAGACTTAACCCAGTTAGTGATGAAACTCAATTTAAGGAAACAAAAGGTCAATAAAGTCTCACATGGGCCCCCATGAACGAACTAGGCCGGCACGGCTGCGACATCTCTGGGCTCGAATTCGTTGGTCCAATAAAAGCAGGCAGAATTTGGAGCCCACAATCGCCTCCCGGGTTATGTCAGCCTCCCGTCGTGACTCACTTCTCTTCGTTTCTTATGCTTTGTTTAGTCACAAAGAAGAATGCATCCATAATTGGGGGATTTAATTCGTTCAGTCTATTTTTTTTAATTATCATTACAGAGAAGAAAATGACTCGCACGCTGGACCTCACCGCAAATATATAGGTGGGGATTGATTTCTTCCCATTGCAGTTGGCAAACTGTAGATTCGGCCTAATCGGATAATCACATATCCTCCTGTCTTGGCTTTTCACTTCACTGATCCCTATGGTATCCTCTGTTAACCCATACTAACAATCCCTCACTGTCAAATCCTGCTTGAGAAAAATATGGAGAGTGCTGATTTTCTTTGATTTCTGTTGTGTCATTAGGCAACTGAAAGTGGTGACAATAAGCTAAAGCTGTATTCGTACTGGAGGAGCTCATGCGCCTTTCGAGTCCGAATTGCTCTCAACCTGAAAGGTGCTCAGTACAGACAAGCACAAGACTGTTCCTGTCCCTACTTTAGTTGAATTCATCAAGTAAATGTCTTGTGTGGATAAAATCCCACTTGCTCGGATCCTTTATCAGTTTAGTGTGTTTTGATTTCAGGGATAAAATATGAGTACAAAGCAGTCGATTTGCTGAAGGGAGAACACTCTCACCCTGGTTTTTTTCTCCTTCTGTTTCATTGCTCCAATTTGGTCCTTGATAATGATAAAAATTGCAACAAACCCAAAAAAGGGTGATATTAGTATAACCATTTGTGAGTTCAGGGAGTTGACAGATTAGTGGGTAGGTGGGTCTAGTGTAGTTTAATTTAATTTGCTTTGTTGTCTTACTGTTTTGCTTTGGCATTTCAGATTTCCTGAAGCTCAATCCTGTCGGTTTTGTTCCCGTCCTCGTGGATGGGGACTTTGTAATTTCTGACTCTTTAGCCATCATTATGGTGATTATCTGCTTTTCCTTTGGAGCTCGGAAGTGCAAATTCTTTCTATAACCTCTTCCATTCCTCCTAAATCGTTTTTTTTTTTTTTTAATGGATTTGATACACATGCAGTATCTGGACGATAAGTTTACTCAGTGTCCATTGCTTCCTCCTGATTTACATAAAAGAACGATCAATTTTCAGGTATAAATTCCATTATTTTGGGAAAAGTTCACAAGTACCCCCGTACTTCAACTCATCTTTAAAAATCTACCATGTAATATGAAATCCAGATGATAGATTCCTGTATACTATAGCGAAATTGGGAGCATAATCTTCCATTTGCCTCCCCCCCCCCCCCCCAAAAAAAAAAAAAAAAAAAACACACACACACACACACACAAAGATCATCTGACGGAAATTTGAGATTCCAAACAAAATATTCAGGGCTCAACTGTGAAATTTTGAACGAAATTGTGACCACACAGTTAGGGGAAGAAGGCATCTACGTCCCCAATGACAAATGCAATTATTTGGATTTGAAAACAAAATAAACCATGGCTTATTTGTTGAAATTGTGGATTTGGATTAGAAAATTCGTCAATGGGAGTTTGCAGAAGAATAAGGAGGGGTCAGCTCTCAAGCTAGCTATAATACAGGGGTCTATTATCCAGGTTTCCAAGCACATGGTGGTTGTTTGCAAACGGATTAAAGCCTAGCGTGTGTTTGCAAATTGATCTGTAAATTACATCTTCACCGGATGATTGTGTTTTTCTCCGATATTTAAGTTGTATCACTTTCTCCTTTTCTGTAATTCTGTTGTTTCAGTCTTTTGATTCCCCTCTCCATCAAAAAGAATACAGACGGTTTTTTTTTTTTTTTGGGGGGGGGGGTTGTGGAGTTGAGTCTAAAGCTACGATATAGGCCCTGATACATGTTCTCTTCTAATGCTGTGATCCATAGGTTACGCATATTGTTTCCTCCAGTATACAGCCCTTGCAAAACATGAGTGTATTGGTATGATTAAGCGATTTTCTTTTCTTGTGAGTTTGTAATTCAATTGGCAACCTTTCCTGGATGCTATAATCCATTTTATATGCATACAATTATCCTGTCTTTTCTTATTAACAGAACTATATCGGGGAAAAGGTTAGCCCTGATGAAAAGCTTCCTTGGGCCCAACGTGTTATACGAACAGGCTTCACTGGTGAGTTTTTACTTAGTTAAGAAAAGAATTTTTGTTATATTAAGCATTTAGGTCTTATCTGCCTACTAATAGTCGTGTTAATTGCTGAAAATGTCATGGTTCAAGGAAATTTATCGTAACATTGGGCATTTGTATTTTCCCCTTGTAACGGCAATATAGGTATTTGGCTTGTCCAGGAACGTAATTCCTGGCTTAAGATGGTTTGAGGCTTAATTAGTTTCATTTAAATGTGTCTCAGCTATAGAAAAACTATTGAAAGGCCACACAGGAAGATATGCTACTGGAGATGAAATTTTCCTGGTGTGCATCTCTGCTCTATTTATTTTCATGTCTTGATATTAATATGTTAATCTATGCAATTTGCATAGATTTGATTGGTGATAAAGCATAACGGCATCGTATAATCGATGTAGTTTATCTCAACTGGTGGAATAAGACTTTGTTATTATTGCTATATGCAATTTGCGCTTACTCTAAACTAGAGTTCTTTTCCCATTTAATTGAGAATAAATAAAGTTAAGTTGATTGTCATTGTTTCTTCAGCAAAATCATTAACACGGACGGCCTAAATTAAATCCTTCATATAGTTCCAAAGTCCAAACAGAGGCCTTTTTTCTGGAAGCTCCTGTCCATAATATAGTAAGAAAGTCATAACTCCCTTGCCTAGTTCCAGTAGGTGCAGAACTTAGGTAAAGATAGCACTTGTCATCCTTTTCGCAACATGGTATAACATGTTCTGTGTAATTCTGTCTTCTGGTCTGGTATATTTTATTCCCAAATCACTGATTGCAAATGATAACAGGATTAGCTAGAGCCATGTGGGGTAGCTTTAGATCTGTTGAGTTTAATTTTTGACTTTTTTGTTGCATGACTATCTACAAACTGACTATCATTTGCAGGCTGATTTGTTTTTAGCACCTCAATTATATAATGCGACGAGGTACAATGTTGACATGGTAATGTTCTGTACACTGTTGCATTTATTCCCTCTTTTTGGCCAAGATTGGTATGGTGGTATTGAAGTATCTGAGTTGTATTACTCTGTAATAATTCTGCCTCTTTGATTTAGTGGTCCAGGGTGCGATCTTCCTCATCACCATTCTTAAAATTTAACCTAGAGGATGTTTTATTCCATAGCTTTAGATTCTGGTGGAGTGGTTTTTGGATGAGTGAGATAAGTCCTTATCTAGTGTCACCTCATATCTCATTGTTAGGTTCTCGCTTAATTCTGGTGACTTACAAGCCTTTTGCCACTTGCTGATCATTTATAAGTTTGTAATATAGCCAATGTTCTAAATGTTGAATTTGTCATAGGCCATTCAATCAAGAATAAAAGGGGGAGAAGAAGGGTTATGAGTACGGTCCGGATTAAAGCCTTTTCTATGTTATCAGCTCGCAATTTGTGATAACCTATTCATTTTTCCCACGTTTTCTTTTTCATCTGTTTATTTGATCTTTTTATAGTAACTAACCTTTACATACTTTAGTTTTCCTTTCCGAGTAGCCCTGGAACCAAAGAACAAAAAACGTGACTTGGTCTCCTCTGTTCTTTCCATAAATTTCGATCATATAATCAGCTAAGACATCATCATGCATGCAGACAGAGTTCCCTCTTCTAGCAAGATTGAGGGAATCTTATGATGAGGTCCCGGCAATCCGAGAGGCTTCACCGGAGAACCAGCCGGATGCTCCCTCCCGAGGAACCTAGTTCAACCTATAATGTGGAAGCATTGAGTGGTGATCCCTGAATTAGTTGAGGTACAATTGAATGACCCATGCATATTATACTTCCTATTTCTGTGAGTTTCTTGAAGCCAAGAGTCTATTTACATTGACTTGAAAAAAAGAAAGAAAGAAAAGAAATTTCAACGTTTATCCTTAATTGATCACAGATATGGAGTTCTTGGAATTGCTGGAGGATCGTACGGTTTAACTTCTGCTTAAATCTTCTACAACCACGTAGTATACCCTTGTGGCAATAAGGTTGTAACGTGATTACGTACAATTTTGTTTTGTTTGTTTTGAGCAAGTTCTTTTACATTTACTCCTTGACCCTTGTATGAAAACACCTTGTTAGTAGATAGTGGGTGTGATTAGATTTGTAGTGACAAAACTGATTTTCATTCTATTAGTGTGATATGATTTATGTTTGGAGTGACATTTATAAAAGTCAGTTGAAAAAGTTAAAACTTGTTTGGATAATTGATAAAAAAATATTTTTAGATGTAAAATGACTGGAAAAAAGTATAAATTTTGTTAAATAATGTATATAATGTGATAATTTTAAGATAAATATCAAAATTAAGATTATAAAAATAGTTAATATATTACTGAGAAAATTGAAGATATTAAATATAAAACGTTAATTTATTTTGCTTTTAATATTTATCTATTTTATCTTCAAATAAATATTATGGTGATTACATATACTACGTGATTAATAAAAATATTTTAGATAAAAATTATTAATTTATTATGAATAACTAATTTAGTTAATTATAAATAATTAATTTAACTGATTAACAAAGTTATCTTCTCTTCTAAATAATGTGAGTAGGCTTATTTTTCTCTGGCCACGGCATGAATAGGCTTTCATTCCTAAAGTACCAAAATTCAACTTCTCATGTAACGTGCTGCTCAAAAAGTCACGTTTTAAGATTTCCCAAGCAAATTTGGAGTCTTTGTTGGGGATCTAAACACACGCATGTATTTTGCATGGATTTTACTTACGCCCGCCATGTGTGGAGGCGTTAAAAATATTAGTAATTGAGTAGTATAAACAAAAGATTTTGCAAAAATTGGTTCAATATTGATAACAATCACACATATACTATTATTGTCAAACTCACGAGTTGATTCTCCAAATATAACGTTTTTATGTTTTCAAATAACAAAATCATGTCGATTTATTCTTAAACTCGTGATAATTATAAACTCGGTTAAACTTACGAGTTTATTTACCGAGTTTACTGTTTTTACGTTTTTAACTTACAAAATCATATTAACTTATTCTTAAACTAATGTAAAATTTTTTGATTTGATTATATTTGGTGACTTTATATATGAATTTTATAAAAAAAATTTTGTTGGATGTGATAAATTATGAACATTAATGAATATAATTTTAATAATTTAAATTTAAAATATATTTAAACAAAATTGTTCTCATTTTTTTATATATATTAATTATTTGATTATATACTTTTAATACCAGTTAAACTCTTATGAGTTTATAATCCAAGTTTATATCATTACCACGAGTTTGTTTAAAATCGTGAGTTTGACAACTTTGCACACACACTATTCAGTATATATATGTATATGAATAGAAATAAAATAGTTAAAAAGAGCTTTTTTCTATAAATAAAATGATCAATTCTCATTAATAATCAAGTCGAAAGTCACAAAGCAGAGAGAAGAAAAGGACAAGAAAAAAGAAAATTAGAAATTAAAATAGCATATTCCTAAACCTATTGAGAAAGTGTTTGGATGAAAATATAATTTTACGATATATGAAATAAATATACTTTAATTTGTGAAAAAAATGCTTAAAATCATTTTTGGGGTATTCCAAACACTCACTAAAAAAATATTATATTCATTTTGGAAAAACAAATGCTCGCTTATGTTGCTTAAATAAATTATGAAAATACTTATGTATCATTTAAAAGTAATTAAATATTGAGTAAGAGTTCATTTAGTAAATTATAATAATAGATAAATAGAACTCACTTATCTAAGTCCTACAAATAAAATACCTTTTGGACGATGATTCAATATCAACCGGGATAATAATTGATCGAAATGATTTTAGTTGTTTTGCATTGATGTGCGGATACACTTTCAATGTTCATCACTTTAATAAGCATTCTAAACTCATCAAATATGAACTGTCCATATCTTATTTGGATGGTTTGTATTTGATTTTTAAATCTTTTTTAAAATAATTATTTTAATATATATAGAATCTAAAACAAACATAATCTTCTAACTATCTTTTTTTAAAAATAAATTCTTTATTTAAAAATTATTAATTAAAGACTTTAAATTTGAACCATTCAAATCAGATATAAATAGTCTAAATCTGATGAGTTTTGGAATGTGATGAGCACTGAAATTGGGTCATTGATGTGTTCGCATGAGGGATTGTACATGAAATTGATTTTTTAAAAAAATGTAACATTTATGAAGTTGAATAAATGTGAGTTGACCGTTGCCCTCCCCCCCCCCCCAAACAAAAAAAAAAGAGTTAACTTGCTTCACACAACGTTTAAAAAAAATCTTGGCTTTACTAAAACTATTTTATTCGGCCAAACATAGCTTTCTTTGACACTACTTAAGAATTAGACACCAGATTAAGCTATTTTTAAGTGTACCTAAAATATTTTTTCAGATATATTTAGTACTTTAAAATATTTTGTGATATATTTAAATTTCTAAAATATTTTACAGTTGCATTTAGCATTCTAAATTCTTTTTTTTTGTCTTGGTATTGGATACACACACAAAATTTTAGGCTGCTAGATGTATAAAAAAATAATTTAAAGTGACAGATGCAGAAAAAATGCTTCATAGTTATGGACGCACTTAAAAAAATACTTCAAAATACTTGATACACTATAATATATTTTAAAAGATTAAATATATTAAAAAAAATACTCTAAAATACTGGATGTATCTTCGCTCTCCCATTAATTTTGGAGAATAGATGTTGAGAAAATTAATCACTTTGGAAAAGCTGCATCGGTGAGTTTCAGTCCAAATCAAGATTTTGGGCTTAAAATCTAGTTAGGGTTTGGGCCAAAGCGCTGTTGGGGGCTCTACTGGCCACCGCCGGTCAAATCGAAGCAGACTTTGAGATTGTCCACCTCTGACAATGCGCGCGAAAGAATCATCAACATGAAATTGTGAGCATATGCACAGGGATATCAGACGAACAGGATTTATCAATGGGGAGAACTTAAAAGGCACAAAGGCTAAAGGAAGAAGGATTCACCAGGCTTGTGATTGAAGTACAAGAAACCAAGGTTAATTCCCAAATACTAACATCAAGGAGCAACCTTTAGATCATGGCATAGAGCTGCTTATAGGGTTTTTATTTACAGGTTGTTTAGATTAATGCTCACAAAAGTGACTTTTATTTTATATGATTTTTGCAAATTGAAGTTAAGGTAGAAATCAATTGGTGTAGTATGATTTATATTTAAATAAGTTTTTACAGCAAAAATCAGTTTAACAAAAACTTGTTTGGATGATATATTGATAAGTCAGTTTCATTATATTCAAATATGATAAAAATTTAAAAGCCAAAAGGCAAAAGCTAGAAGTAAAAGAAAAACTGGGATTAGCGGTGGTAGGGGTGATTTTTTTTTCTAATCTAACTTCTACAAACTTAAGTTCAAACAGAAGTCAGATAGTGTAATATGATGTATATTTGGGTTAAATTTTATTAAAAAGTCAGTTCGACAAACCTTATTTGATGATTTGCTGAAAAGCAACTTTATATGTAAAATAATTGAAAAGGACTTACATTTTATTAAGTAATACATATTTAATATTATATGTGTATAATGTGACAATTGTAAAAGAAATATTAAAAATAAAACCATTAAAAATAAAAAAATTAATTTATTATTAGGAAGAAATTGAAAAATAATTAATGCTTTGTTCTTGTTATTATTAAAAATAATTTATTATAAAAATAAAATTACTAAAAATAAAAACTAATATGATAATTTCTTACCATTTGAAGATGCATAATCAGCTGGATTGATTTATCAGAAGCAGAGTTTTGAGAGCCTTCTTCTTCTCTAAAACTCTATTTGATTTGATCGATTGAGCATCATCATCATCATCATAGGAATCACAACTAAAATTGACAACTCATGACAGTCAATACAGGCGGCTTTCCAATTGTTTTCTTCACCTGCTCACTTTGGTTTATGTTTGTCTTTTATCATAAAATTGATTGATGTTCAGTGTAATTTCCCAAGAAAAAGAGAGCTTAGTTTGCGTGTCTTAGCTGGGATTGTTTTTTGGACTGTATGATGACTATTTACTTCATATTAAATGGGAAAAATTCTTTTACTTCATTTTAAAACTAAATCTGAGACTAATATGAATTGGCTTATTTTAAATAGTCAGTAAAAGTATAATATGACTTATTTTACTTCGTATATAGGTGGTGATTGATTTCTTCCCAGTGAAGTTAGCAAACTATAGCTTCGGCCTAATCGGATTTCCTCTTTTCTTGGCTCTTCACTTACACTGATCAACTATGGTATCCTCTGCTTCGCCATACTAACAATCCCTCATTGTCAAATCCTGCCTGAGACAAATGCAGGAATGCTGATTTTCTTTGATTTCTGTTGTGTCATTAGGCAACTCAAAGTGGTGATAATAAGCTAAAGTTGTATTCGTTTTGGAGAAGCTCATGCGCCTTTCGAGTCCGAATAGCTCTCAACCTGAAAGGTACTTTGTACAGACAAACATACAAGACTGTACTGTTCCTATCTCTGCTTTGGTTTAATTCGTCAAATAAGTGTCTTCTGTGGATGAATCACACTGGCTCGAATCCTTTATTAGTTTAGTGT